CCGAGCGCGGGCGACCGCGCGGCCAGCATCGCCGCATCGCGGGCGGAGCGGGCGTGGCTGGACTCGGGCGGCTCGGACTGCACGTTTTTGGTCAAGCGGTGACCGGGCAACCCGGCGTCAACCGAACCGACCCGTTTTTAAACGGGTCGATTTCTGGAACCGACCGACCCGTTTTTGCATTCGCGGTCGGGTCCAACCCGGATTTTTCGGGTCGGGGTTCGAGTCGGTTTCGTGTCGCTGTCAAATATTGACAACCCTTTAGAGTTTAAAAAGATAATGGAGAGAACCATATTACTAATCATTATCAGTTAAGTTAATTAGACATGAATTTGATACAATTTATAAACTAAGCATGCTTAAAAAATAAATAAGCCAAATTTGTTAGTTATAGTTAGAAATATAGGATAACATAAGGTTTCCAATTAATGAAAGATTCACTAAAAATTTTTTTCTTTACGAGAAGAAATAATTATTTCTTAAATAATCATTGAAGAAAATAAATTACAATATTCTCAAATTAAATAATAAAATAAATAAAAATCAAGTTGAAAAGATATTTGCAATATAATTATGTTTCATTGGCAATGTAATTATTTCTGAAATATATAGAGTATTGTTTAAATTTAAATTTATTTTTTTATTATATATATACTATTTCTTATTCATCATATTTACAAAATAGAAAGAATTAGATAATAATAGAAATTCATAAAATACTTAAATAAAAAACATTATTAATAGCAATAAGCCAACACTTCGATCAATCCTCGCTGTTCTTCCTTCGTTGAACAAAGTCCTCTACGGTTCACTAAATTTGATATTTAAATGGAAAGCTAATTCTACTCGAGATGATCACAAATCCCTTTCATAATAATTACGTAAAATTCTATACAATTATGTGAAAATTTTGCATCTACATATTCTCATAAAAAAAATTCATAATGGGTCTTAAATTTTTAAATAACTTTTAAAATAATTGTAATATAAGAGTAATCAATGAAATTTTATCGTGCACCAATTAAAAGCATAGCTATATATATATATATATCCAAATTAAAAACGGGTCTGAATGCACCACTAAGTCCTTGAATATGATTTATTATGTTTGCAATAAATAAATAATTTATATGATACTTATCTCAAAATAAATTCAAAAATCTTGAAATTCATCGCAATAATATTCTAATTATTTTTATTTTTATTTTTATTTTAAATACAACATGGCTAAGAATTTGAATGGAATATTTTAACATAATTATTTTATTAAATTATATTAATTTTAATCCCAATCAAATCTCATAATTAATCACGAAGTGATATCCTCCTAATAAATCTAGATAGAGCTTTAGATTCTTGTGATCTCCTCTTTGTGTTAGCTTTGAACGCCCAAGAAGATCCAATCTAGCCCCATGTAGGCATTCATGGATGCACCTTCATTATAGGGTCCTTAGTCTACTTTGTTAGCTTTTTATTCCTTCTTAAAACATACTTTTAATATAAAAATTAAAATTTTCTAACAAAAACTCCCTAACAAAACTTTCTAATGGCTCCTGCAAGAATTTTTTTCCTTTAAAACAAAATCCATAATAAAATTTCTGCTAATTGATCCATATTATCACAAAAAAAGGGCAAATTATTACATCACACATGAATATGACAGATAAGCCTCTACTCCCACCTCCCTCACTTCCTTCTTCTTCTTACCCAAGACACCGAGATGAAGATGATGTAACTTGATTTCACTTTGATTATTATCTATTCTCGATGTTCTCAATCCCCTTTCTCTATGCTCATCTGCCCAATGGGAGATCATGGGTCATAATACGGGCTATTATAGGAGATAAGCTCAACATTACGAACACTTCTTTTCTGACACGAACACAATAAGAGGAGAAGGCATAGGTAAGGGCTATTCATGAGGCTGCTGAAGAAGAAGCTCTTTGTTGATAATACAAAATTTAGATTACTAGTTAAGCATTTTTAAAAGAAAATTGATGCAGTGGTGTTAGTAAAAATGTGTCTTTTCACTATGTCGGTTTGTTTAAAAGTACCTATTGTCCTGTATGTGAAGGTATTAAGAGAAAAATTCATCATTGCTTCCTCTATTCTACTAAGCATTTTCTTTTTAGTTTTGTTTATCCAATTCCTCCAACATTGTGGTATTAAAGCCCGGTTTCAATTGAAGTGGGTGTCAAATTTATAGATTGAAGCAGAGTTTTAGAAGATTTTATGTATTCTTCTAAAAACAAAGTGTGTGATTCTCATCTAAGTATTTTGAATTTGTCTAATCCTGGAAGATATGGATGAAGTGGGATTCTTCTAGCACAACTTCTCTCATTCTTCTCCGATAGCTAGGCGATGCATGGGATTATTTCCTCTGAACACTCTCACCCTATTCTCCTCACTACTGTGTATGCCTCTAACTCAACGAAGAAAAGGCCGTCATTATGGGATGAGCTTAGAAGTTTGGCTTTTTTCATTAATGATATCAAACATCCTTGAGTTGTTTTGGGTAACTTCAATTGTTGTAGAACCAGTCATGAAAAACATAGAGGGCTTGTTTATACACCTTCCTCAATTTATGATTTCAACAACATGATAATTGATACTACTCTTATTGAGATTGCTTTTAGTAAGGCTACCTTTCACTTGGTTTAACAATAGGCAAGATCAACCCAGACATATTAAACTTGACAAAGTTTTATCTAGCAATTTCTAGTAACATTTGTATCCCCTATCTTTATATTATGTGCTCAATTTTCAAGGCTCAAACAATTCCCCTCTTATTCTCACCCCTCATCACTCCACTCAGGCTAAACACATGATTTTATTCAAAAACTATTGGAGTACACTTTTCCCCTTTAGGAAATGTCTACTAGATGTCTTTCCTATACTCATGCTCACTACAAACCCCATCTCCTTTCTGCACAACAAATTTGAACTTACTAGAATGCTATCAAACTTAAAAAATTGAAATTTACCTCTCAATTGCATCAAGATGTGCTTGAATTGAATCTGAACAAGAGCAAACTTTTAATTTAATTAGCAGAGATCACATGAACCCCTCCTGAATGCCAAGCCATAAACTAGAGCCTCTCATTTTCTCTTTCTTCCTTATCGTCCTAGATTGTGCAAAGCGGTAAAACAAAAAGGCTCATCAAAGGTGAAGACCTCCACTTCCTCAACAGTAGGATTACATGCAGGAAAAACTATAATCTGATCATACAAATATTCACTTCTCATGGTTCCTGCTATACTCAAGTAGATATTGCACAAATAGGTATGTATCTCATTTCAAAAATCTATTTAACCCCATAAGCCAACTCTCAAATCATGTTACCTTACCTCCTGGAAATGTCATTCCTCCCTATCTTACTTCTTTGATTATGGTCCATTTTTTAATATTGAGATACATGACACTATTTTTGACTCAAACAAGAATTATGCACCAAGTCCTAATAGGTTCACGTTTGGCTTTGATGCTAATAACTGAGATATCATTAGTATGCATATTTTCAAGGCTATGAAACACTTATTCCTAAAAGGTTACTTCCCTAGAAAGGTCAAGGCTACTAGAAATGCATTAATTCCTAAAGGGCGGTGTGCTAATTGTATTAATGATTACATACCCATATTTTCCTATGCAATATTTACAAAATTATGGCTAAGCTAATAACTTGTAGAATGAAACTTCTTTTGCATCTCATTGTGCATCTTACTCAGGTTGGGTTTATCTCCAACATAATTTTCACAAATAATGTGATATTGGCTAGAGATGTAACTTCTAAATTCAAAGGGATTATTAAATCTCATCTCTTTGGTGCAAAAATTGATATTTTTAAGACATTTGATTCGATCTCTAGATCCTTCTTCATTCATAAACTTCATCAAAAAGGTTTTCCTAATGCTTTTATTTCTTGGATAAAAGCTTGAATTGAAAATGTGTTTTTTTTTCTGTTAGTGTTAATGGCTCTATTGAAGGGTTTTTTTTTTCAACTCTTCTATTAACTTAAGGCAAGAATGTCTATTATCTCCATATTTATTTTACATTGCAATGGACGGCTTATCTAGTCTTCTAAAGAATGCAATTTTGGATAATGTTTATTTAGACATTATCTTTTCTCTCATCTCCTCCATGCTAATGATCTCATTATATTTGGGCTTCAATCGATCAAGGGAATATTGGTTCAATTCTCTATTGTCAAAATCTTTTGCTTTTAATATCTTAATGATCTCATTATATTTGGGCTTCAATCGCTCAAGTTTGTTTCTTATCCTATTACTAAATATTGGAAAATATTAAAGAAACTGCTTTTAATATTAATTATTTGATGAATTTTTATATTCACATTTATATATAGTAATCTGTATGTTTTCTAGGATCTTTGGATCAATGACAAATCATTTTTCGAGATGACAATAACACTATTCCCCTTTCTAAGCAACATTTATGCTTGAAAATTGAAGATGTTATATATATAGGTTTTTCCTCTATATTGGCCCAACTATTTTACTATGTTTTCTATGCTTTTACTATTTCTGTTGATGAACAATGCCTAATGAATGACAACAAGCCTAATTTTAGCTACTTCTTGCTATCACAGTTCAATGTACAAAATAAGATATATTGGGCTAAATTTGTTTGGCTCATAAAAAATGCCTTGAGGTTTTCTGTTGTCACCTGGACGGCTTTGGTGGGTTGATTCAAAACGGAAGATGCATGATTCATATGAATATTTATATTAATCATATTTGCAATCTTTGTTTAAATATTAGAGAATTAAAGCTTTATTTGAGATTGTTCTTTAATGCTTCTTAAAATAATTTTTTATATAAAAATAATAGTTTTTTAACTAAAAAATTATTTTAAGAAGGAACGTAAAAAATCATCCCAAAAATGAAGTTTAAATTACATAAATGATTAATTTTAAGATAGTCAAAAGTAATTTTGAGTACTGCTATATATATATATATATATATATATATAATTGCTGTGCGTGCCCTTTCGTTTTACTATTTATTACCTTTTGACATCCTTCCCCCTCTCACCAACCTCGACGGAGAAAACTCAAGCAGAATCTTCAAAACCCTAATCCTAAGGTCCCATTTTGAGCTTACCTGCAGTACCTGGCATGGATTCCTTCGCTACAGCCACCTCTTTCAATGGCCAGCAACCTCTATTCTTCTCCACTCTCTCAAAACAAAAGTTTTACCCCCTACCCAAAACCCTTCGCTTTTCCCTTCACCCAACCTCAAACTCTACGGTTTCCAGAGTCTCGTTGGTGAAAGCCTCTTCTTCAGAATCGAACCCTCATCCCTTACCGCGTAGAATCAAAACAATTGCAGCAGGCGCCGTCATTCTTTCCGCTGCCACAGCCGGTCTGCTCTCTGGCCGTCTTTCTCTGGCTCTGGCTCTGGCTGAGCCCCCCACCTTATCAGAGCCGGCGGAGAGCTCCCATGCCGATGGCGAGGTCCAAGTCGAGTACAAGATCACAAATCCGGACGAGAGATCCCCTCTCTCCGACGCCGTCAATTCGCTCCGTTCTCTGCTGTATCAGAAGCTGGAGGATGGGGAGGACACTGAGGCGCTTTCTATCCTCCGGCGCCTGTTGGAGGCGCAGCCAGCAGAGGCTGAGTGGAAGTTCTTGGCGGCTAGGCTTCTCAATGAGATGGGCCAGGTGGCCGAGTCACGGAAGCTTCTGGAGGAAATCCTTGCCGCTGATCCCCTCTCCTTCGAAGCTCTCTTCGAGAATGCTGTTCTGATGGACCGTTGCGGCGAGGGCGACGCCGTCATCGAGCGCCTCAAGCGCGCACTGGAGCTCGCTCAGTGTGAGCACAAGGAGGCCGCCGCCCGTGACATCCGCTTCATCATGGCGCAGATTCAATACCTTCAGAGGAAGGTGGAGGAGGCCCTGTTGACCTACGATGAACTTGCAAGGGAGGACCCTAAGGACTACCGTCCCTATTTCTGCCAGGGAATGATCTATTCTCTGCTTGATCGTAACAAGGAGGCCAGGGAGAAGTTTGCCAAGTACAACGAGCTCACAGAAAAGAAGGCTGAGGTGAATGCCTACTTACAGACGGCATTGTCGAGGGTCAAGCTTTTTGGAACTGGGGATTCAGAGATTTGATTACCGCGGCCTAATTTTCTTCCAATTCCAAAATGGAAAATTGGAAGTATGAATAAGTTTCTGGGAGGTGAGGTGAGCTCCCTTGAACTATATATTTTCTTCAGTGATGAGGTGACTTTAATATAGGAAATAACAGCTACGGGTGATATTATTTGGAGATTTTTTTGGGTGTTACTAATATTATGCATCTTTACTTATGAATTCAAATTCATCTTTATACATGACTTGCATGTTCATTTTGTTCTTTAACTTCATTCTTTGTCGAGATGCAACATAAGACTAATATTGTCTATTCAAACATAGTAGATTCTCTAGTGTTGCTCATCATGATCATTGTTAGCCTATGGAAACTATTTTTATCTGGCTAAGTCTTTCATTTTGAGGATGACTATTTGAGGTTATTATTCATTTTTGTCCAACAACAGCCATTACCTAATTTTCATTGCCCAACTATGGACATTCAACCTATCGTAGAATCAAACAATTATTTTCAAATACTTGTAATCCCATCTTATTCAATTTTGGGGAAGGATGGAGTATTTTATCTTCAATTATTTAGTTTATTATTTCAAATAGGTCAGGCCTTATGATTTTTCTCTTTTTTGGGTCTATCACATACAACATTATGGTGTCTTTGTCAACTTCTATTTGTGTGCATGTTGAATCTTTGTAAAAGCTAAGATATTAAGCTCTCTATCAGTATAAATTTCATAGCATATAATAACCTTCATATTAAAATAGGAAAACGTTATTGAACTTCATCCAACAGGCTCGTCGCAGTTCAGAGTGTGACATAATGATGGATGAAATTAGAATTTGGCAACTTGTGATGATGAATCTGCACCTCAATTATTGGATCTTTTCTTGTACTCAATTTTAGTAGTCATAGCTGAGTAGTTTTTTTTTTTGTTGTGGGGATGGTGTGGGGATATGGAAATTTGTTGCTCGAGCAATTACTTTTGTGAATTCTTCTAATTAGTGAAGATCATGAAGGTTTCCTAGGTAAGTAAAAGTATCATTTTTGGATGATCTTAACAATGCCCAATATTTCCTCTCATAGGTTGACCATGTTAAGGATGGCCACTTCAAGGCTTCATTGTAATAGGCCAATGCTAATGGCACTAAGAGAGGATGATGTCTAAAAGGGTTAGCATGAATGGTAATTTCAAAGATTATTCTAATTGACTGATCTCAATGGAACCCATCCTTGCCTGATAGTCATAACAGAGTTGCTATCATTCAAAGTTGCAGATAAATTATTTAAGATCCATGAATGCATATGTTGGCATAGTGTTCACTGCGAAGGAGATATCCGAACGGGTGATGGTGGCATATTGTAGGGACCCCGTAAGTTGTCTGTAGGTGGATGGATCTGAAGAGAGGATATTAGTGGGTATGGTGAAGGGAGGTTTGGTGTGAGATGGGTTGGAGATGGAATTACAATTGGATATCCGGCTTGGTGAATGATGCTGTGGATGTAAGATGATTGAGAGAGGTATAGTTGATTGTCATGAGATGTAATGTTGATGTTGAAGAAGTTGGTGGGGAAGCCCAAATGTTTGATGGAGAATTAGGTGTTGAGAGAAGAAATAATGTAAAAAGAATGAAGAGGGATTGCTACATAGATTGTGGGTCATTGTCCGTCAGAAGAATATCGTCTGCATAGATGAGAAGGTATGCTTTAGTCTGGTTTTGATGAAGGATGAAGAGGGATGGGTCGGAATGGCTGTGATGAAAACCTAGAGAAAGAAGATGGATTGAAAAGGTCTTAAATCATTGTCGAGGTGCTTGTTTTAGGCAATATAAGGATTTTTGAAGTAATCATACATGATGAGAGAATTGAGAGTCCTCGAAGCCTCGAGGTTGCTTCATGTAGATAGTTTCGTTGAGAGATCCATATAGGAAGGCGTTGCTAACTTCTAGTTGATGTAAAGGCCATGAGTTGGTGATAGCAAGTGTGAGGAGCACTCGGATTGTAGGAAATTTTGCGAAGGGGCTAAATGTGTCAGTGTAGTGGAGGCCATATTCTTGTCAATGGCCTTGTGCAACAAGTCGGGCCTTGTGTCTTGTGGTGGAATCATTAGGGTGTCGTTTGATTTTGTAGGTCTAACGACAGCCAAGGATTGTGGCATTGGGTGGTGGAGGGACGAGGAGCCATGTTCCTTGTTTTTGTAAGAGATGCTTATAACAGAGAATTTAAAAAATATATATAGAAGATAAAAGGATCATTCACAACTCACCAAAGTGAATGGGTAGAGAAGATCATTAAACCCTCTATTTTGGTCAACCACCAAGCCTAAGGGTTTTGGAATTCACTCCGAATCGATTTTCTCATATCTATCTTCCTTATTTAAAAGAACAAAACACTTTATAAGCGTTTACAATGCACTTCATTTAAATTACATAGATAGGGAAGAGTTATAGTGGTAAACCCTCCATATAACTACATATGATCACCTGTACTAACTATCATGGTTGGATCACCCTCATGTTATAACTAATTGCTTAATTAATCATAAGATATTTAGTTAGGCTGATTCCCATCTCAATTAAAATTAACTTTAAAATTTTAAATTTGAAACCTAAATTTCATGCATACACATAATAACTCATATATACATTACCTAAGATCTAGCAAATAAAAAAAATTCACATAATATTTAATTAAGAAAACTAAATAAGTAATTCTTTAAGTTAGGTTCTTCATTTTGCTCCTGGTGATAAGTCCTTCATGCTCGACATTGAGCCCTTGTTGTTGGACCCTTCCTCTCATTCTGTACTTCTGGTTCTCTTAGTGGCTACACTAGTTGGGCAGTGTCGAGGACTCATCATCACCATCAAGTCTACCAAGTCACCTCTGACTACGTTCTGCTCATCTTTGCATGCGAACTAGTCTTTGACATGCTACAAGGGGCTGACCATGAGATTCTACAAAATTCCCAGTACCTTTCAAGGTTTAGCACAACATGGATGCCCTCACTAGCAAATAAAATTGCAATTTATAAGGGATAAACTTTTTCTAAATCCTACTACCACCGAACAACAATGTGAAGGTACCTTATGTTCTCGAGTTGAAATGTCTCTTGTCCAAGTTCCTTAATATATTCGAACCTCCCAGTACCTTAGAACCAAATACGAAGCGAGTAAGCATGCAGCCCCACTGGTACCCCCACAACAAAAAAAAAAATGAACATTGAGAATATGGTGAAGGAGCTTGTGCAATTAGAATTGATAAGTGATAAGGTCCAGCAATATTCTATTCTCATTCCTGATCTTGCTTGTGACATAGTTGGATGAAATTTGTGAGTTTTGTGTTGACTAATGAATCTTGAAAAACATGGCAATCAAGGATAATTATATAATCCTAGTGATTGATGACGAGCCTCATGGAGCCATAATTTTCTCCGACCTGTGAGTCTTAAAGGAGGATGATATGTAGAAAATGACATTTCGAATGCATAAAGGGTATTATGAGTTCATAGCAGTGTCATTTGGCCTGACTAACATAATGACCTCTTCCTACCCTACCTTCAGAGTTTTATTTTGGTCTTATTCGACAATGTCATGGCGCACTTGCCAACTTGGGAGGACCACCTCTGCCATTTCTACACCATCTTGATGACTTTTTTGCTAATAACCAATTGTTTTTTAAAAAAAAAAAATCGAAATGTATGTACATATTTACCCAGGTCAACTATTTGAGCCAGACTATTTTGGAGCAAGGAGTGGTTATCACTTCTGCTAAAATATAAGTTGTTCTACAGTGACCAACCCAAAGTTGTATGCGGGTTTTTCAGGCTATCTAGATCTTTAAATAATTTAGGAAAATTTACATACATACCACAATATAGCTACATTTTGCATATCTAACACCTTAAATATGAATATTACAATTATTCCACCCAAATTCCTAATTTACCTCATTTCTACCACTCTGTCTACTGCATGCATCACGATGTCTTCTTCTCGCCAAAATCCCCTCTTCGCGCCCAACGTCTCGCAAACTTGCCTCCACGTCTTCTGGCCATGTGTTTGTTTGGAAAACAAGCTTGTCGCCACGTCTGGTGAATTGCTTTCCTCCTATGTAATGAGAGCGTGCTTGTCATAGTTTTAAATGGGTACTAACATTACAAGCTGAATTGATTGGTAGAAATTCTGATTCACATATCACATATATGTATGACACATGCGACAATTCATTTCAAAGATTTTATGTTAGATTTATGATATGTGCAGATGGATTCATATATGATTGTAGACCTCTTATCCGTTTGGATGCATGCCACCTTAAATCCAAGCATTTAGAAATGCTTTTATCAGCTACCTCACTTGACGATAATAACGATTTATTCCCTTTAGGATTTGTCGTTGTTGAGACTGAATCTAAATAGACATGATTATGTTTTCTTCATAACTTGGGAGAAAGCATTGGTACACATATAGAACCTCTTGCATTCATTTTGGACATTAAAACTGGCAAGTAATCCCAAAAGGGTACTTAGAACTGGAAAAATAAGGGCAAAGCCCAGCTTCATTCATTATACGAAAAAAATTACAACCCAAAATAAAAATAAGATACAACTCTAAACTAAAAGAGTAGAACATGTCAAAGTTAGGGAAACACACCTGAACTAATACAAAATCAAACTAGAAAGGTCTTGTAAAAATAAAAACAGAATTGACATCTAAAGAGCAATCCTAAAATTGGATTAAGAATGCCCCAGAAAAACTTATAACTCAAGGATTTTAAGATGAGACATTAAAATTAAGTCCCACGGTTGCCCCAAGGGCCATCTAAGATGAGAGAGCTGGTTGTTGCAAAGACCTTCCTCGAGGACCATCTGGAGCAAACTGACATGACATTCATCATCGTCCCCAAAAATTTGGACGGATCCTTCTCATTCTGAAAATAGACCATCCACACCGCCAAAAAACAGAGAAGGATGCGGCCCAAAAAAGAATGAAAATCCCATGAATCTGTAAAAAAAAAAATGAGGAGAAAACAACAGCCAGACTGTTCTGGAATAATAGAGCAACCAACAAAAAGGAAATCCAAATACAAGTACAATAGCCATCCTAATTGATTAAATGCATAATCTCTCCTTCGTGCTTCCAGGAGCCAACTTTATAGTAAACTTCCCTTATAATTTTATAGCAAATAGTGGATAGCTGCATAGTTTGTTATGAAATTTTCTATCATTATTTTCTCTCCATATGAAGT